ATGATTTTTAGATGTAAAACTATTATTAATTTATTATTGTAATTAGAATTTATTTGCATTTAGAATTTATGATTTTTCTCTAATTATTTACGTTTTGCTTCCTTCTGGTTCTGTCTGACTGAATGACCCGGTTCTGAAGCAGCCCCCCATCCCTCCCTTACTGAGTCAGACCAGGACTTCTGCGTCTTTTTTTCCCTTCGTCTTGAATCTTTTTGCTGTTTATCAAATAACTTTGAGCCTCGGTCAGAAAAAAAGACAAGGTTTTATATTTCTGGTCCGAGAGGAGGAAAGAAATGGTGGACTGAGGTCGACTGAGGTACCTTTTTTTTGCCACAGGACGTGTTTCCTCCTCGTGACGTGGCGCATCAAATCAGACGTCTTTTAAAAAGAATAAATTTAGCATATACTTTTTTATAATAACTTTGGATCTGCTTGGCCTAACAACACAATTTAATATTGTCTCAATATTATATGTCCTCTATTGTCTCAGAGAGGGCGGATCTTTACAGGTAGAGCTTTTTTCTACCTAAACTTTATTTAGATCAGCCAGCATTGACAACGCTGTGCAGGTGACGTAAACGGCTCTGCGACACAGCGAGGGACGCATAAATCACACAACAAAATGAATCGATAATGAAACTCATTGCCAACACTTTTAATAATCGATTTTTATTGATTGTATTGATTCGTTGTTGCAGCCCTGCTCATATGAAAGGCTGCTTATTTCAGATGGATGGAAAGGTTAAATCAGTCCACTGCCAGTAAATGTGTCTGATCAACAGAGCACCGTCTGTTTTKGTTTTTCCACATTTTTCTTTTTTACTTAAAAACAAGTTGTTCCTCCCAGAAACAGAACAAATACAGACTGTTTCTGTCTACAATCTTCTAATTGGACTTATTTTACTTGTATTTGAGTGGTTTCATACAGTTGAGTTAGTAYAGGGTGACCAGACGTCCCCGATKTCTGGATGACTTGTCCCTGGCTAAAACGAAATGTCCCAGATTTGAGCTTTTTATGCATGAGGGGGAAAAGTTGCTTGTAAACTCTTATTACWGCAGTGAGTCTGTGAGCTTGYTGTGCAGCGCTGTCACGGCACAGGAGGAGAAACAAGCARWCAGTCTGCAGAGGMWGGCTCTGTTCCTCASCGGTCAGCCGRYGTGTGAGTTCTCCTGTTAAATGAACAGTTTAAACTCCGCCCACCTGGCCCCGGCTCACTGTTTCTGCAGGACCAGAGTGAAGCACAGYGAGCGGACATGTCCYGGCTCATCACTAGCGTTAGCTAAACCTCCACGTTCAAGTTGAATTCGAAATAATGATATGAACTCCTGGACCTGTTTAAGACTCTGGTTGTTGTTACCTGCAGCTTTTCTACAAGCACAGCCTCACCTGGTGTGTTTAAAACTGTTTTATTGTTCTGTATGTACAGTGGTGGGCACCAGCCCACTAAAGCACAAATCCACTAATTGTGGACCTGAATATGTCAATTGTGCTTTAGCAGTTTTACTAATTTTTATAATTCATAAGCAGATTTGCGCTTTCTAAATTTAAAATGCAGGACCGCTAATAACTAATTATCTACCAGTTATCACTATTTTGAATGTCRGAAAGTTTGGATTATCATCACTTAAAACAGGGGCCTAATGTCATCTGACATTACAGTAAAGAAATTCTTTAAAGAGTTCATTATTTTCTTGAACAGCAGAAGGGGTTTGCTGTTAGTGACCAACACCATGACAAAACACAGTAATGCATCAGTGCCCTCTCAGATGAATGATAAAATAACACAAAGCTTTATCCTGTGACTAAC